TTGTCTTTGGTTGATTTTTATGGGCTTTTGTAGATGAACAACTTACCTCAAGTAAAAGTAACTTGGAGATGTAAAAATGTAATTGTTTTGACATTTCACTTATTCAACATGCATGCATTTATCACATTGATAAGATTACTTTTGATAAAGAAACAAAGAACAAATATAGGTAATTTACTCCCAGTGTGTATGTATGTGTGTAGCTTTATACATATAAATAAAAATAAACATGTAAATATAGATCTGTATATAAAATCTTCAGACACATTGGTCGGAAGTAGACTGGCCAGCTATTGATTGTACTGAATAACAGGAATTTATATTTTCAGAAGCACTATAACACGGTTGGAAAAATAATATGATAAGGTATTTTTAACTGAATAAAAATGAAACATTAGCAAGATTTCCATAAATGGAGGTTGGATCAATCTTAAAAGCATATTATACCAGAATTTGCACACACTGTGTGTTTTGTGGCAGAAACCCACAGTTGAAAGCAGTGGAGCTCTGTGGAAGGCACAATACTCTGTAAGGGAAGAAAAAATACGAACAAGAGCCACATTTTCTTCCAGATTCCGACTGTCACCCATCCTGAGACACTGTTTAAAATTTAAACAAGTGTAAGCTGTTAAAAGTCATGTGAATAGTTTCCCTACATTACGGGCTGGGCACAAGAATCGTGATAGCTCTTACTATCATAGACACGTCCTATACCTACTACCTTCAATTATTTCTTTAGAGAATTTGTTAGTTTGATTGAGGCATTCTTCATTTCATGAGTTTATGCTATATATTAAAACAAATAGCTGATTCCTTGTTTGTTAATAACAGACTCTAAAACAAGATTACTAGAGTTAAATCTTGGCTTTATCATTTTTTCATGTGATTTTATTCCCGCAACTGTAATGCATAATAACAATAGCTCTCTTATATGATCATAGCAAAGATTAAGTAAATTAAGATATATGCAAAGGGTTCAGAATAATACTCAGATCACGATAAACACTCTGTGCTAATTGTTACTGCTATTTTCAATTAGTTTTTAACTGCCCACAGACACATTGTAAACCAATTCCCAGTGAGTATTTAGCTTGTATGTATTACAGGGGGAAAAAAAGAGAGAAATAAATAATGGTCATCTACACTGCTATCATGATAGTTTCTTCTAACAGATTTCCAATGAAAAATACTTATTCTATGCCAACAGTGTTTCATCAGCATCACAGTGGCCACATAATCAGGTTTAAACAGGCAAAGTGAATTTATCTATACCTGGTGGCTCTTGAGGATTAAAAGAAATTCCTGGATAATTTCAGATTTCATAAAGGAGGCTTTTTCATTTCTAGCAAGCTTTGCTAAGAAGCTCAGAGGACTTTCCAAATATTCTAATTAACTTTTGACATCTTCAATGAAATGAGAGACAGTCACTGCTTCCATCTTTTAAATATACCTTGTATTATTTAGGGTGTTCAGCAGAAAGGCTGAGACTGATTTAGAAGACTTAGAAGGACACAAACACTGACACTTAACACTGTCATTCAGTCAGCTTATTCTTTTAATATTTACGATCATTTCCTATCAAGCATAATCCTATTTTTAAAAATTACTATGATTTTTATCTTCAAAATGAAAAAAGATCCACTGGAAAAGTTATATCTCATTTACCCCCAAAACACTACTTTTTGACCTAACAAAAAATAAGTGTTACTGATCATGGCATGATGGTGCCCAGAACTGAAGAGTGAATAGGAAAAAAGCCTCACTTCTGTACTTGTTCTTTTGCTAACCAGCTGGGACCTTTTGTGTATCACTTTTTGTCCCTAACCTCAAGATCTGAATGAATTTTATGAAGGGGCTGAATTACAGAGTAGAACTAGTGCATCAGAGGATCATTAAGAGAAACCCTTCCAAGCATGAAGTTCTCCTAGCACATATTCAGTGGTGGAAAACTCACTGTATCCTAAGATGCTTGAGCTATGTACAGACATTTCTGTTCCTCATCTTCATTTTGATCTTTGTGGAATGCGAGGCTCTCTTGTATCTCAACTAGCCTATATTTCAGTGGAGCTCCACAGTAACAAATGTTATAAATTATGAAAGAGAACTTTAAAAAAAAACAGAATGCTGCTTTTCTACTTTGCATTATGCTTACCATTATTAAGGTAGAACAAAAATACCAAGGGATCAAAAAAAATTTATAATGGCTTCTCTATCTTCAATTTGATCAAGTAACAGTTTTCCCACCAAGTAACAGTTTTCTTAGAGGGAAGGTTCTACCCTTTACATTTCAAAGGGATCTATGTCACTTTGATTTCCCCTCTAGGAATTTGGAGCACTGAATCCAGAACAAACTTGTACTCCAAAAATTTAGAAGTGGATGCTGTTGGACAATGGTCACAGCTCCATGGAGCGATGGGACTCAAAGTGTGGCATAAAGAACACCCTGGTCAGGACATAATTTGGTGTCAAACTTTGATAAGATAAGAGAAAAAAACTGAGTAAGAGTTCAGATATCTTGCAGCTACTGCATATTGTGGTGGTACAAAATACAAGATCTCTGATATCCTTAAGTGTAGACCTCTTTGAGTTCTGTTGAATGCTCAAATAGAGGTAGAATGAGTTGCATACTAGCCAGATGGCATAGGACCGCAGCTAGATAGGTGCACCAAGGACTGAAAATAAAAATATTTTACCAGAGAAAATTTGAGAACCATTCCTGATAGGGATCCAATAACAGCTGTGCAGGACTCATGCTGAATCTTAGCACCCCCTTTCCTTGTCTTTCCCTTTCCTGGATGCTGTAAAGGATTCCTCACACTTTGTCTATTTAGTATGGAGGAAATTACTGCACTACTTAATTTTTGTACCCAGTTTTCCTATACCCCCAAAACAGCTTTCTTTTTACAGTACTTATTCAATATAATATAAATACGATGGAGAAAATAAATGTTTCATGGATTTTTTTTTTTAATTTGGAGGCTAATTCTTATTTTGTATTAACATGAGGCCAATTAGCAAATACCTCTGGGGACAATAGCAGCCTATGAATATAAGCTATATTTTCACATGTAAACCAAACAAGATTAAAATCATTATCAAAAGAATATTGGCTCTATAGACACCTGCCTTCTCCCAAAATCAGCATGGTACAGTGGAAACAACATTGAACCAAGTCCTAAGGTCCAGGATTAGCTCTGATATTAACTTGCTTTGTGATTTTTGAAGTCTCCAAACCTTTGCAACCAAAATTTTCTTCTCTATAAAAGTAGCAATTTGAATCTATTTCTAACGTCTCTGACGACTTTAAAATTTCATACTTCAAAGAAAATTATTTTCCCTTAAGGTAGTTTCCTGATGAAGGAGTCATTTTCCCAGCTGCACATTTACTTCCAAAGACAGCTTGACCTCCCCACATTTGTACAAACAGCTCTTTATTATGAGTTTAGCAGTATCAGACTCTTCAAGGCTGAAATCAGACAACAAATGAACATTAGCCCTGACCCCCAAAGCATGCTTTTGTTGTACAGACAGGAGTTTTAATTTGTAGATGTCTCCGGGGTTGAGCAGAACCTCTCAAGGGCCTAATCACCTCCAAATGGATCCTATTAAATACCAGTATCTGTAAGGTACTTGTTTATTGAATTGTTATTTGTCTCAGAAGATCTCTCTCAGGGAGCTCCTTAAACACCTAACAATCCAAAATAAAGCCATCTGTCCTCCCCTAACTCATGAAGCCTATAGAATTAAACCAGGTCTCAAATAGAATTAAAAATTGAATGAGTCCCCTGGAATTGTTGCACACAAAGAATCATGTTAGAGCTGATTCCACAGGTATTCCATTCTTTGATTATAGCCCCAATCACGTTTCAAGCTTCTCTGCACTTTTAGGATGATGTATTCTGTGCTTACCAAGAAGTCTGGGTAATGTGTATGAGCAATATATATATATATGAGATTAGGTAAGGGTTAGCTTGAAACTATCCATGATTCTGATAATGGCTTTTATCCTTGAAATAGATGGAGGAGAGTATTGATGCAAATAAAGAGAAATTCAGAGGAAAAAACTTACAACAGTATGAAAATTACATAGAAAAGTGCAAAATGCTTAATCATAGGTCACTATTCAAGAGAATGGAAAATTCATACCTAAGCAGTATGAACATTTAGGCAGTACATTTTAACACAATAAAGAAGATAATGAGGTAATGTTGTATATGTATAGATGCATATATTATATATCATATATAGAGAAAAACTTTATCATTGAATCTATCAAAATGTTAAAGAAAAGAAAAAAAATGTAACACTTCAAAATGAAATATATAGTCCTCATTTTCTAAAATATGATTACAATGAAAAAAAACTATAGGCTCAAAAGTATGAAGAGTTTTCTGGTCTGAATACTGACTTGAAAAGAGAATTTGCATTTAGATTTTTAGAAAAGATAAGAGTGAACAGGAGTTCTTCCATAAATGAAGCAGAGACTACAGGTGATTTATCCCAGGTTTGTGCCTGGCGAAGGAAAGCTGGTCAGGTATAGAAACTTACATACCTGAAAGCAAAAACACATCCCCTGCTGGAGCTAAACTGTTGAGGGAAGTGGACTAAATGAGTAGAGGTCTGGAGTGAACCAGCCACCCCAGGGCTCAGTGGGCCATGATGCCCTGTTCTGAAGTGGCCAAGGGTCATTAGGCAAGCGCTATTATTGACACAAATATCCATTGTGCCCTAGATGAATTCAAGGAAAAGACCTTGAGCTAATGACTTATGTGAATCTATCAAGGTCTCGTTTTTCTCTGTAGCTGCCTCAGTGCCTCCAAGTGCTTTTCTGTGGTGAATTGGGTGCTTTGGGCTACCAAACTGAAGTCCTCAGGACAGCAATCTCCAGAAGAAAGAATTTCTCCCCTGTTATTTGAACCCCTGGGATGTTGAGTGGCTTTAGGCCCTGTTTTTTTTCAGCACTCTTCTGCTGGCGGGTATGCTTTTTTTTCTATCTGCAGAAATCAAAGATATCCACCTATGAGAAGATGTGGGCTTTCATGAGCAGTAGGCAGCAGACCGCCCTGGTGAAAAACAGTGATGAGGGGATCCAAAGAGTGCTCACCACTGACTACGCCCTGCTGATGGAGTCCACCAGCATTGAGTATGTGACGCAGAGAAACTGCAACCTCACCCAGATCGGGGGCCTCATTGACTCCAAAGGCTATGGAGTGGGAACACCTATTGGTAAGTGTGCTACAGCGTTAGAAAGAACTAAGATGGGAAATACAGTTACAAATATTCCATACTTTGAGAAGATCTGCCATGCCTTCAGCAGACTGATGAATAAGAGAAATGCCCACCTAGGTCAGAGGCATGGTCTGAACTGAAGAATCTCAGATATTTCACCTAATAAACTCTCAACTACTATTTCTTTCGAGTTCAATCACAAGGTAATGATTTAAGAGTCTATGGATTTCATTATTTAACTCAAAAAATATTTTGAAGAGAATATTTTCTTTGTTAATCCTCTTTATAGTATTTTCTTCAACATTTGTATGCTTACGTTTTTTCTCTATAATGTTATACAAGAATACAAGAAAATGAATTTTCCATGTAGATGCCAATGCTGCATCTAGAGGGGTAGTGTTCCATGTCAGCAGGTGTGAAAGCAAAGCTCTCTCTGTCAAAAGCAAAAGGATAAAAAATTAAATTATAGTTACAGTTTTCTCAGACAATAAGCTAGACTTAACAAATGATAACTATCTAAAACCTCCCAATATTTCTATTTTTAAAAAATTATGTAGCACTGCTTTCTCTAGGGAAGTTATGGCCTTGTAAAAATACACACCCATACAATAATTTCTTATTGCATAATAGTAGCACATACAATGTACTACAATCAAGGGTCAGTTGCTGATTCTCTTTATATAAAAACTCCTCTATTGCTTTGTTTGCTGTAGAAAATTACGTTATATAAAGTTATTGTGTAAGGTCGACTAGCTCTTCTCAAGTGAGTCCAAAGGAGCGAAATCAGGAGTCATCCAAACCACTGCATTAATCCAAGCAGAAGAAATCATACTTAGATTCAAGCCACAATATTAAGCACCCAAAGTAGATCTGGTCTGCATATTTACATTACTTTATTGTTTGGAAGGAATTATCCAGTTTTACCATGAACAACAATAAAATATGTACAGAGACCAACAGATCCCACAAGCGAATGAAGCTGGTATATGCTGTAAGAGGCGGTAGGGACGGGGCCACTAGGCTAGGAGGAAGCATGTGACCTATCCAAAGGAAGTCTTATTGGTCAGTTAGTTGTAGACACGTGGGAGTTTCAAAACAAGTTTGTCAGGTATTCTATTTTTCCACCTAAAATCACATTCAGGTTTTACATGAACTTTCCTAGTGTTTTAATTTGGCAACTAATTAATTTTTTAAAAAGACAATGTATCCTTTACTCAGTTTAATATCACCTATATGAATAGTAGTTTAATCAACCAAATAAGGTCAACTGTCTTCTATATTTTCCATGAATGCACAACTAATTTGACTCCCTACTATCTGCCTAGTGCTAGAACTATGTGTTATAGGGAATTAACTTTATTATTGTTATCTTTATGCCTTATGTTACTGCTATCTTTACACCTTCTAAATAAGTCTTCTGCAGAATAACTAGGCTAGGACAGTGGTGGTGACTCTATGGCACACATGCCACAGCTGGTTGTCACTTAAATCTCTAGAGGTTTCACCATCACTAGGCTAGGAGATTTATACTTACCTTCTTGTCCCTTTATTTTTAAAAACTGTTCCTGATTAAAAATAATATTGTTAGTGAAGTGTATATTTTCCCCAGGTGGAATGCTCTCCTATGATCTAATCATCATATTCTTCATGGGCCTCAGGGGGATCACTGGAGATCAAAAGGATATTGTGTACTTTTTTGACTTTAAAACATCTTTTCCCTCTAACCCAACTTTACTACCTCATTTTAGATAAAGGGGCTGGGGCAGGTTAGACAGATCAGAGGAACTATTTTCTTTAAGTCTTGTCACTGCTGATTTTATCAACATTTTTAATAGTGTGGTGATAACATGGGATTAGTGCTGTAGAGAAGTAGCCAACAGGCTCCTTTCTGCAACAATGCTGAAATAATGAAGCCCTCTGAAGATCACTGCTCACCTTCATGTGAAGGAGACTGACTCTGAAATGAGTAGCACCACATTTGTGTATGTATGTAACTAAACCAATATATATATATATAGCATATATACAGTATACAGTTCATGTTACATATAAAATAAGGAAAGATCTAATTTAACCCATTATTCTTTTTTTTGCCAACCTTAGCCATAACAAATTTCGAAGTTAAAGAGCCTTCCTCCCTTCCTAGACAAAAAAGAAATATACTCTAGGAATTTGTCATAACAGTTCTAAACCTGTCATGGTTTTAAACCAAAAACAATGAAGGAGTAATTGGAACAGATGGCCGACCTCAGAGAGAATATATCCATTGGGAATACAGCGGTTGGAAAAATTTGTGAGATGCTTCTTCTGTGATGAACTGACTCTTTAAGGATGATCAGGTTCTATTCAGGAAGATAGATATAGATTGATATAGATAGCTATGGATGATATAGATATAGATATATAAGTAGAAAGAGAGATACATATATGGGACATTATGGACAACATTAAAAATGTATATATATGTGTGTGCACATATGTATACATACATTATTTTCAGGTGATTTTAATAGGTCTCTTCTGATGTCATCCAGTCCATTAAGGGAACAACAACAAAGCCTGAAAGTAAAATATATGTAGATATAAAAAATTTCTACACACTCTGGCTTTGCCAGGATGGAGTCTCTTAAGGTTCTAAACTCTTCCTCTGCCACAGTGGAAGAGAGACAAAGTTGGTGCCATCAAAACACAAAATTGAAAACTTTACTTCTCAGGACAGAAGCTTAGGAAATGTGCCACCTGAGGAATTTAAAATAAAACTTCAAGAGGATGAGAGCAGTTAAGGTTTAAACAGGTTACAGGGAGGCTGGAAATTACCTTCCTTAGAGACCAACTTTAAACAGGAGTTGGATCTCCATCTGTCTGAAACGCTTTAGGTCTTGTGCACCCTGAAGGCAGAAGGAAAGCATCAGTCAGCATTCATTGAGGGCCCGCTGGGTATAGCACCATCATCACTGCTGCAACCACGACCATAAGAGCTATTGCTGCACTCTGCAAAGCACTTTCATATACTTGAAAGCAAAGTGCTCCATAACTGCTCAGTCCTATGAGTGTGTTAAATGGTGCTAATTTTAACACTACCATCACTCTTGGGATGTTTAAGCAAACAGCCAATACCTTCTAATTTGACTTCCAAGCCCCATTTTCTCACCAAAAATCTATATTCTTAATGGCAAGCCAATCTCTCTCCAAAGCATCGTGTTCTTCTCTTAATCTTGATTTTGAGTGCTGACAATTATTTTTTAAGACATCTTAGGAAGAAAGAAATGACAGTTGCCACTAACGTTAAACTTCCACCTTTTAAACTTCAACCATGCCATAGAACACCAGGAATATGTGGGGATGGGGAGGGGTGGGGTGGGATCATTTTCCTGGGAATAATACTGAGAAATAAGAAGTAAGGAGAACTGAGTTTGATTCTTGGTTCTATCAGTAAATATTAGTTTCATTCATATTTTCATAGTTAAAGTTTTTTCCATCTTGTTGCTAATGTACTGGACTATGTGATTCCCAGGATTTCTTCTTGTCCTCAAATGTCTAATTTTTCAATTGCTTCAAACAAGAAATGCTCTAAAAGGTCTAAGCCAAGACAACCAGGGTATATGGTTGCTATTTTCCTACTGAGTAAAAGAAATGCTAGCAAACATTTTTATCACCCAAGGAGAAATTGAGTTGAAGTACCTTATTTTGTCCCTTCCTTTACATTGATTAATACAGAAAATCAGTATTGAGAAGCTAAACCCACAAATAGATGTTAATATCTCTAACACTTACATAATTAAATGTTCATCCACATTACTACGAAATAGAGCATGAATATCATCAATAAAATCCTTGCAAATTTTCTCAACAAAACTGAATTTTCTAGGACCTTTGAATTATTCAAAACCTCCTCTTAAGTTTACAGCTACATAGGTCAGCATGAATAAACAGCTATAACCAACATCTGCAAATTTTCAGTGGCTTGCAGAATAAATGGTTATTCTTTGACAGTGCCACAGTTCAGTGTAGATTAAAAGAGAAGCTCTGTCTCATGTTGTCACCTGAGGACCCAAGTTCCTTCTATTTTGTAGTTCCACCATGCCTGATAACTTGAAGTCTCAGTCTTCTTGCTGTGTATTTGGGGAAAGAGAGCCCCCAAAAATCATTTTAGAAAGATTTATGACACAAGAGCAAAATGCCATGCATAACTTTAAATCTCATTAGCTGGGACTCAGTCACATGACCACACTGAACTGTAAAGGAGACGAGGAAATATCTAATCAGGTACTCCCTTGCAAAGAAGAGGAAATGGCCCAACTCAGTCACAATCTGAGGGGACAGAAAACCCTGAAAAAAAAGTATTAATAATCTAAATGATGAAATCTTGAGATTTGTGAAGAACTTACCAGACCCAGAAGTACGTCTGAATTTGTAGCTCAGCCTTTCTAATTCGATGAGGAGAAAACAGTCTGCTCCAAAGTGAATCTCAGCAGGTCAGCTTTCCTCTTTCTAATTATTTAGTCTTCAGTGTATAAGATTGGTCTTTCCTGTCCTTGGCTAGTCAGTTAGTGGGCTGGGGTTTCACAGTAACCTTATAGCATTTACCAAAAAGATAATAAAACATACTGATGTCTTCTTCAATGTTTTGATGATCACTATCCAAATGACCTTTCCAGGCTCTCCTTACCGGGATAAAATTACAATTGCTATTCTTCAACTACAAGAAGAGGGGAAGTTGCACATGATGAAAGAGAAATGGTGGCGGGGAAACGGCTGCCCTGAAGAAGACAGCAAAGAGGCCAGTGCCCTGGGAGTAGAAAATATTGGGGGTATCTTCATTGTCCTGGCTGCTGGACTGGTCCTTTCTATATTTGTAGCCATTGGAGAATTTATTTACAAATCACGGAAGAACAATGACATAGAGCAGGTGAGTCATCTCTTTCTAAGACTGGGTGGTTTTAGTTTGAATTATCTGTCTTAAATTTGAGGCTTTTAAGGATGTTTGTTCTTTTTTGGTAACAGTCCATTGAATTAGATGCCTAGAAGAGCCACTTTTGAGTTAGAGCAAAGAGCTATTGAATCCCTGCCAGGTGCTGCCAGCCCTGTAGTGCCATCATTTATTAATGAGGGGAAGGAAAAGCCTAAACACTAAATCCAATTAGCACTATTTGGAACAACAGTGCAGAAATTCCAAATTCAGTTAATTTCTTGATAGTTATTTGCTTGTAAGATGGAAACTGTAGACATATCAAGAAAGAAGGAAATCCCAAATTGGAAAAGAATCTACCCTTTAACATGTGGATTCTGAGCACATGTATTAACACAAAGTAATTTATATGTAAACATAAAAGTAGTATTTTGAAATTGAGCATTTACTTCTTTCAAGGTGTGATTGGTAAAAGGATAATTTACTCAATTTTTATCAGGAATATGATGAACAACACAAAATAGCACTAAAATATATTTGAGACTTTATTTTTCAAAATTATATTTAGGATCATAGGATGATTACAACAGTCAACCACATTTGCTTCTTTTATTTTTTAAAGGAACTCACACCAGAAACTTAGATTCTTTTGAAAAGATATGTGTGATTTAAGACAATTCCATTATAATCATACTAGAATAAACAAAAGGCAAAGTTCCTGGCCATTGCTATGTGTTAGGCCAATCACTTAATTTAAAGATATTGTTAAAATTTCGAGACTATGGACTATTAATAACAGAGACAGTTTAATGCTCTGTTGTTTCTAACTTGAAATTTTTCATGATATCTTTAACAAGGAGTCGCACATTTTCATTTTACGCTGCACCCTGCAAATTATATGGCTGGTTCTGATGAATAATCTGACTCTAAATTCATTTAAGTGGAAGCTATCCTTATTCACCCAAACCTGGGGATGATTTATTATAACTGTTTTCTTCGTGAGAATCTTCCCCAGATTTGCAAAGCCACTGTGTGAATACTAAGCACCCCTTTCATGAACCACACTCTACAAAACTGCCTTTAATTATAAGGGGAATGGACTGACCTGCTTTAACTTTCAATTTGCTCTTGAGGTGTCTTGTTTTATGCAACTAATTTGAAAAATAAAAGTTTGTATATATTATGCTTTATTTAATGTGCTTCTCATAATGGCCAGCTTCATTTTATTTAAATTTTCATTTAAACACTCATTCTTGCTTTTGATTTATTCATTTTTCTATATTTTTTTCTCATTTCTTTTGCATGCAAGGCTTTTTGTTTCTTTTATGGACTGCAATGTAAGCAAACCCATCCAATCAACTCCACTTCCGGAACTACTTTATCTACGGACTTAGAATGTGGCAAATTAATTCGAGAGGAGAAAGGGATTCGGACACAGTCTTCAGTTCATATTGTATAATCAGTTTTTTTTTTTTTAAGAAAAAATGTATGCCCAGTAGAAATTGTTTCTTCTAATCAGTGTTGTTATGTCTGTCTCCAGTAAGCACACATAACCATAAATCCCTATCCCTTTATTCTAGCAAAATTCACACACGGTACCCTAGACATCCAAGTCAATGCGCTGGAGAGAAATATGCACTATATGTTGAAGCAGGCTCATATTAGGAGGAATAGATTCTTATTTATGTATATGTAGAAATCTATCCTGTCTAAAATAGTGACCTTTATTCTATCTTCGTGCATTAAAAATAAGGGACTCTTTCCTCATGAAAAAAGGAAAATCATATTTTCAACGGTCCAAAGCATAAAAAAAAAAAGCTAATTCTGTGCACCTCTTTTCATCTTTGTGACCTTTGCCCCCCTTTCTTTCCTTCTGTCTGTCCCATATGTTCCTTAGATTCACAAATTTCAAACTTCCTGAAGCCCTTACACATTCAATAAGGCCACAGAACTCCATAACAATGTTAATTTTTAATTCAAATTGATTCACTACTTAAATGTATTATTTACACAAAGACTCAAAAGCATTTTTCATCTTAAAGATTCAAAAACCGGGATCCAGAGAATCGTGACTGAACTCGAACCTCTGGCATCAATGCAGAAGAGCATTACCTAACTTGAACACCACTCATGGAAACCAAACACAATCAAGAATGATTTCTGGGCAAAAATGAATAACATCAAGCTCTCAAACAGTAGTTACTTACAGAATTTAGCAATCTTCCATAGGTGTAGAAGGAACTCTAAGGAACTGTGATATTTTTTCAAGCTATACACCATTTCTCAAAAGTCCTAAGCTGTGAACTAATTGATAGCCTCCTGTGTTTACTGCTTACTCACCCTCACTCTTTGCACTGATGAGCATCTTTGCACAAAATGCTATTCCGTTGCTTCCCAGTTGGCCAGGATGGAGTGGCTGTTCTTGCAGCAACCTTTACTGAGCCACTGCGCGCTCATCTCTGCGGCTCCATCACTGTTATTAATTCATTCCGAGTGTGTTGAAGAGAAGTGCAAGGCAGAGAAAACAAATACAGGAAAGAATTTCCACATGCATTCATTACAGATCCTCGTAGATTCATTTTCCACCTGCATTTGAAGTGCTATAAGTAATCCCCACACTAACCCAACTGGGTGACACAGAAAACCAACTGCATATTGAATTTGCTGTGACAGAAAATGCCTGCTGGTCCCTCTGGGGGTGTTTTCCCTTCATAGTGAGTAGGAAAGTTGATGCCTTTCATCATTCCTCAATATGTGATCAATTGGTCTTTGTTCTCCTTAATGGCATTACCTCCTGCCACCTTAAGTGATCCCCTAAAATACATCCCTCAGAAGTAGGGATTTGCCAAGTTGCATTTCCTTCTCCTTGCTTAGCTGTAAGTGGGTTCCAGCTTTGAATCAAAATCTCTCCAGTCAACCCTCTATTTCTTAAGTAGAGCAAGTTCAGAAAAGTTAATTCTTTTCCTAATTGTTTTTCAGTATTACCTTCTTCTTTAAGTAAATATCCTCTTAAGAAAGTATCTATAAATTATACTGCTGCTTATTTACCATCCTTGAAGTAGAAGCAACCTACTTTTTGTTTCCAGTAAGAGTTCAAATTTGTTTTGAGATAAATATTACATTATATTTTGTTTTATGTTTTACTGCTTTGGCATATAGAAATTCCAAACTACTTCAGTTTATTTTTCCAAAATTATCCAATAGACAAAAATGCTACCAAAAACTTCATAAGTAATTGAAAAAGTATAAAAAAAGAGGTACAATAATTACTAACAAAATTTGCCTTTTTATAGAGATCATCATTAAAAAGTTTAGAGATTTAGATAGAGAAATGATCCCTTTAAAAAATAACATGTGAGCTTGGCATGGTGGTACACATCTGTAATCCCAGCACTCAGGAGGCTGAGGCAGGAGGATTGTTGCGAGTTTGAGACCAGCCTGGTCTACAAAGTGAGCTCAATGCCAGCTTGAACTGTATAGCAAGACCCTGTCTCAAAAAGACAAAAAACAACAAAACATAATATTTGTACACTACTTTAAACTATATATTACCTAATTCTGATGTTTAATACTGTTTTCTAGTTTTCATGATATTTTCACATACAGCATTACACTGGATTCTTTCACCAATTTTAATTCAACTTTACTAACAGAGAAACATGTCAGAGCCCACAGCTAGACTCATAGACATTAGAATCAGAGGAAATTTTAAACTATCCAAACTTAGCTTCAAGTATAGCCACCTGTGAAATGACTATAGGTAAGCTGCTGAATTTCTCAGTCTTAGTTTTCTAACATATAATTTCTGAAAAATATGAAGCATCATTTCTAAAACATAAGGTTGTCTTGAAGGACTGTTTTTCAAAATGGTTCCGCTGGTAATTGTTTCTCAAGGAAGATTTTCAAGATTAACTCTGAGAGCATCGTACTGAACCTTCCTTAACCGCATATGTCAGTGTGTTTAATTTTTGGTATGGATCAAGAATTTCCAACAAGGTAGAAAACTACTCAGCATTTCCCAAATCCCTGTTAGATCACAATCTTGTTTTTCCTCAAGAGCTTCTTGACAGACCGGTGTTCCACAGACAGTCCCTAGGGAACACACATGTGATGATGCGAATCACACCCATGATAATGCGTCAAAGATCATGCACTGCATGCGGCATATCATAACCATTCAATACGCAAACGTGTATTAGTTGGTGTAAAGTTTTCACTTCTCTGAGCTTCAATTTCCTTATCTATCAGATGAAGAAGGTACTGTAGACTTTATATATTTTCCATCAAAATTAATTGAAATCATTTGCCATAGAAAAATTAAGCCACTTATAAAAGTCTTGTTAATCAAGATTGGTTAACGAAAGTATGTCAGTTCCTACTAGAGAAATTAAGTACTTCTCTCTGGTCACATAGTGGTAAGAAAAATTTATTAAGCATCTTAATCAGAGTCAGATTTCAAAGACAGGTTTACTAATGTAGGGATTCAAACTCTGCCTTTAAGACAAATTTTCCCTGCACAAGCATTAAAAATCAATGGCAAGGTCATCTTACCTAAAAGAGAGACCCAAATTAGCAATACATGAGGACCTATAGTGAAAGTTTTAGACCTCAGCTCTAGGCTTTGTGATTTAATTAGTCTGGAGGTGGAGCAGGGCAATAGTACTTCAGCTGTCCATTTGATTCCAGTGTACCAGAAGGATGAGAGTAAACACACATTCATATACACAAGTGGAATTCAATAAGTCACTGATATTTCTTTACTTATTCTAAAAGTAGAGGTGTTAATCCATACATAATTTCACATTTAACATTCAATATTCAATGGACTTTTTACATGGAGAACTCTGAAAGATACTGTATATTTTTGATATAGATATCATACAATATCAATTGGTAATCTCCCATTAAATTGTTACACAGTATTAGCACCACTCAAAATTGCTATATAAACAGTTCTTTGCTGTCTTTTTTTCATTTACATTCTTTACACTTTTCTTCTT